AACAACCCAACCCATGTTCCTCGTTAAACTAACTCTTACCACATGCTCCGGTTGCTTTCATAGCTAGGTTTCAGGGTAAAAAGAGAGCATTAAAAGGTCAGCCCAACATACTTCATCTTATTTAGATGGCGTTTCAGTTTGTTGTCTGTAGTGCCCTGGCTAAAGCCAGACCTGTGAAAGGTATTCAAAGCTGCAAAACCCAAACCCCTGTACTGATGAGAGATGGCAAACTATGCTCTTTCACAATTAATACGAACAAGGACAGAACAAATGTCTCAGAAAGACCATGGAAAAAAACCCCACTCTTGGCATGGGACAGGATTGCTCTACACAGTGCTACTGTGATCTCCTGGAAAATATAAACAAATAAAATATTTAAGAGCAGTATCATCAGTCTCCACAAAGAAGTTCATGTTGTTTTGTGACTAATTGAGTGCAGTTATAAATTTAGCAAAAATACTTAATTTGATGTGCTGCTACAACACAGCCTTCATGCTGCAGCTGACTGTAAAGGTAGGTGGAAGAGGGAAATATCCCAGGGTTGTTTCTCTACAACCTATTGCATTTATTTCCACTAGAACAACAAGACTCAGCTTAGGGTAAAGGAGAGATTACATCTGATCCTTTTTTCTTAAAAGCACACTGTAATACATGAGTGACAACAATTTTCAAAAAAATTAACTGATTTGTAGTTTTAGAAGCTCAACAGAAAGCCAAAGCCCAGGGACACACATCTGCTTCAGTCCTATGCCTTCCAGCCACCAATGTCACTATCGATATTTTTTCCTCCCCATGAGCCTCTCATTTCAGCCCCACTGCCATACGCATGCAGACAGCCAGCTCACCAAAAATAAGTATTTGTGTCATATCAGAATAAGCACCTGCCACAGGCGAGCCGCCTGCCACAGGCGAGCCGCTTGCCACTGCTGCTTCCACACTGTTTTGCAATACTCCCCCCTCCGTCCTTACTCACTGACCTTTCTACAACCATCCTGGCCTCGTTTTGTATTTGTTGCAACAAACATCTCCTTCCCCCCCACCAAAGCACCATCCTGTGACTCCTTCAGTTTCTTCCACTCTGTTTTGCAGGATTACTTTATAAATAAGGGGCACATTTATAAATGGTTTTGTGACACATTTCATTCCCATTTTGATTTGGCTGCTCCCCACCCTGGGCTACAGGCACTGCAGAGAACCATAGCTCCGCCAGACAAAGGCACAGCACAGAAGAGACACAGCTTTTACTAAAGAGACAATTAAACCCTCAGCATGAACAATTCTCCTGCACGCGCTTCTCAGAGCTGTTAGAAAGCAGTCAAGGGTTTCATTTCAGAATGAACACTCCACAGAAAAATGAAAATCAGACCAGTACACAAGCCATGAGGGGAACCAAAGGATCCCTCATTTTCTCTTCCAAAAGGCAAATTTGTAGTTTCATCCCTAAGTCCTTCGAGCTGCAATGAGAGCCTCTGCCAGCTCACTGAGCCACCTGAGTAACTTTTTCCAGCCCAACTTCGAACTGTAACAACTTGCTGTATCAAACTGCCAAATCTACAGTGCTCATTTCTTTCTGTGAATCCAGCTGTCATATTTCCCAAATGCCTTCACAGTCCCAACTCTCCCAATGCCAAAAAGAACTTTTCACAGATACACATAATTTTGCAAAACACATATGCTCTATGTATGGCACATGAAGCCAATTAACAAGTTTACTTACTGAATTAAAGGATGACACACAACAGTGAAACAAAAACCTCTTGCAGACAGCAAACACATTAACCTTCTCCTCCCTATGAGACGATACTCTCACAAGGATCGGTAAGGAGCTTTAAAGTCTAAGTGGATTTTGAGTACCCCAGAAGATCTTTCATGCTTATCTCTGTGGCATCTTTTATTCCATAACTCCCATGGTGTTTGTGATCACCAGCACATGGAGTTAAGCGTGAAACACGTTCAATTTGCAAGTCAGCAAGCATAGATCAAGTGCTAGGGAAAATATAATCTCTCATAAAATGAAATAAAAAGACTGAGCATAAAATAAAAGCAGGTACCTTTTAACTGGTCAGCTACCACGCTCTGACCAACTCGCTCAATCACCTTTCCATCCTCCATTTCATAACGATCATCCAAGTACTTCGCAGTAGCTTCCGAAATATGGACTTTTCCAGCCACCCCGAGCTGCTCCATCAGATTGGCCAAATTGACATCATTGGACCACACATCAAACTTGAATCTCCTCATTCCCAAAATGCCACACAGAACTGTTCCGGTATGAACACCGACACGCATGTTCACCATTTCTTTCTTCTCTTGGCAAAACTGCTCAATGGCTTTAATCATTCCTAAGCCCATCTCGATGCAGCAGTAAGCATGATCTGCCCGGGGCTCTGGGCAGCCAGCTACACAGTAGTAACAGTCTCCCAAAGTGCTTATCTTCTCACATTTAGTGTCCTCACACAGACGATCAAAACGTCCAAAGAGGTCGTTCAGGAGCCCCACCAGAGCATGGGCAGATTTATTGGCACTCATTTTCGTGAAGCCAACAATATCTGCAAACAAAATGCTCACCTGCTCTATCTGCTGCATCTTAAAAGGACGGAATATGATGGGGGTTTTCTGTATGGAAGGCTTCTTCTTCCTGTTTTTGGGGCTTGAGGTGGAATGACGTTTGATGGAGTTCTCACTTTCATCATCCCCCTGCTTCATTAAGTCATCGGCTATTATTCTTGGCATAACAGAATGAATCATCCTCTCTTTCAGGGCTTTTTCCACTTCTAAGTCTTTGCCATGCATGATGGACTGCCCCACTTTCAGGAATGTGCTTCTCGATCTGACTTCAGACATTATAAATAAATGGATACCAATGGCATGGATGCAGATGTGCAGGAAGGCTTTACTCAACAGATCCAAGTAAACAGCACCAGCCCCGGGAGGTGCAAAACAGTTCTCATCACGGAAATGATAACCAAAGGTCTCGAAGAGGACCGAGTACGACAGTCCCAGAAACAAGCTTAAATACAAGGGTAAGTGCATCACTGTGTAAAGCAACAAGAGCACTTCAATACACATAGAAAAACTGCCTACTTGAGAAAGACAAGTGTCTGTGGGATCTGCCGGGGGAGTCTGATTGGACATGTCACCACTTCCTGAGATAGGTTTCAGAGCCTGGAACTGCGGAGCGAGGGTCAAAGCAAAAACCAGGAGGGTGAGTATCAGCGAAGTCCATACATAATGGCGGGCATAAGTCTTGGTGAAAGTGAATGCAAAAAAGCCTACACATACCAAGAGGAAGCACAGAGCCGGCACCATGAAAACAATCTGTTTCTCTCTCATGTGTACGCCAAAGTAAATGCCCCAGAGTATGCAGGCCACACCAATGTAGAAAAGGGCATAGCGAAACCTCCGCTGGGTCTGCGGGAAGCATCTCTCCATGCAAGCCTCCTCCAGGTTGTTGGAGTCGAACTTGGGGTTCCACCACTTGGAAGAGGCCCTCTCGAAGAGCTGAGGCAGCTTCTTCTGCCGGCGAAGGCCGGGTACACTGCCGCCACCTCCACCGGCGCGGCGGGTGGCCCCCGACTCCCCGGAGCTGCAGCTGGAGGAGATGCTGTACTTGCAGTGCTTGGAAGAGGAGCAGCCCTGGTGCTGCTTGGGGTTGATTTTCACCGTCACGCTGTTGCTGTCCCCGCTGGAGTCGCAGCTCACCTCGGTGCTGTGGTGATGCAGCAGCTGCTGGTGCGGTGGGGAAGCCATGTTGTCAATTCCTCCTGAAGAGCCCGCTCAGGAGTTGGGTCTCTCGCGCTGGGGAAGCCACCGGGCTCCTCGGAGAGCTGCCTCTAGTCTCCTCCCGCCGGCACCGCCGCCTGCGCGGAGGGGCGGCCGGGCAGCGGAGCGGCGTTCCGCCGCTCGCCGGGCTCGGCACACAGCGCGCTAGGGCGCGGGCAGCCCCACATAGTCCCCCCGCCTCGCACGCCTCTGCCGGCCAGGCTGGGGCTGCCGCCCGCCGCTGGCCCCGCTCCCGCAGCCCCTCCGAGGAGCTCAGTCCCGCGGGGGGGACGCCGGGCCCCGGCCGGGAGGGGACCGCTCCTCCATGTCGGCTGCAGCTGGCCGCGGCTTCCTCCCGCGCCCGCCGGGCAGCGCTCCCCTCACGACCGCCGCCAAGGGGCTGGCTCCAGCCGCGCCGCCTCCCTCCCGCACCCGCCCTGCCGGGACGGCACCGACGACCGCGCCCCCGCAGCCCTCCCCTCCAACGGGGCCTGGGGCCCGCAGCTGCCCCACGCTTTCCTGCCGCCGAGGGCAGCGCCCGGGCGAGAGAGCGAGAGCCCCTGCGGCGCCCCTCAGCCGCCGGCGAGGGGTTCCGCAGCCGCCTTCTCCTGGCCTGCCTCAGGGCTGCCCTGTCACCCCTCCCGGCGGGTGGTGCCGCGCCGCCGCGGGGAGCTCCGTGCCCTGCCGGGGGCCGGCCCGCCCGCTGCGCGCCGCCGAGAGAGGCGAAGGACGGGGACGTGCTCAGGCGCGGGCCGCCACCATCTTTCTCACGGGGGGCTACAGGCGCGCGCCCCCGCCGGCCAATGGGGCACGGCGCCGCGGCAGGAGCGCGCGCGCGCGCACACACACACACACACACACACACACACACACACACACACACACACACACACACACACACACACACACACACACACACACACACACACACAAACACACACACACACACACACACACACACACACACACACACAAACACACAATCCCCCCTCACTCTCTCTTTCTCTGCCTTCCCGCCCGCCCGCCCTCTTCCCGGCCTGAGGGGCGCGGGCGGGGGCCGGTCCCCGCAGCCCCCCTGGCGCACCCCTGTCGCCGCAGCGGGTGTGTGAGTGTGAGTGAGTTACTCCTCCGTGGGGCAGCGACGCTCCCTCGCCGCGGGCAGGGAAGGGCTGACAGTGACGGGACGGTGCGGCGGAACCGGAGGCTGGGGCCGGGCGGGTCCCGCAGGGTCCGTCCTTCTCCCCAGGGCCGCCCTCTTTACCCTCAGGACGGGTCACCCCAGGCGGGTCCCCAACCGCCTCAGGGCCGTGTTTGTTCAGGGGGGGCCGGGGAGCCGCCGCCGTTGGCAGGGCTGACATTTGCCATGCGCAAACAACATGCACTTTAGCAAACAATTCAACCTTTCCGCATCCCCGAAGCCTGCTGGAAACTTGCTGAGTTATTTTTCTCCTCTCCTCTTTCTTAGCTTGTTTATAACTGACGCTATCTCGCCTGCACCGCTCCCTCAATTTCATTATCTCTTCCTACCAGATGGCCCGTATCTCTCCCTCCTTCACAGGGTTTCTCCTTGCGCTTGCTTCAGCTTTTTCCCACCCTCTTCCCAGCTCTCCACTTCTTACCCCTGCTCACAGGTGATGTTAACATCCAAACCCTCGATCCCCCCATCTTCTCCTCATCCTGACCCTCTTAGCCCCTGCTCTGGTGCTTGTCTGGTTTCTTCCTGCTGCAGCTCCTGCTTCCTTCAATCCCATTTGCTGTTTTCCGGGTGAGCCTTTCCCGACTGGCCGCTTGCCAGCCACCCGTCCTTCAGCAGTGCTTTTTACCCAGCAGTGAGCCCCTTACCCTCAGAAGCCAACACCTTTTAGTAAAACGCACTCTTCTCAGACAGTAATAGAAAACACGTGGTCACACAGATATTGGAACTGAAATGTGCATTTTCCCCCATTTCCTTTGTAAAGATATTCCTCATTGTGCAGTAACCATGCTGTAAAATGTGGCTTTATTATGATGATTTGGAGAACTTCGTGTTTCCTGACATACTCTGGTGGCCCCAAACATAAGGACGGCATGGACCTGCTGGAGCAAGTCCAGAAGAAGCCACAAAGACGCTCAGAGGGCTGGAGCAGCTCTGCTCTGGAGACAGGCTGAGAGAGCTTGGGGAGACCTTAGAGCAGCTTCCAGTGCCTAAAGGGGCCAAGAAGAAATCTGCAGAGGGACTTTTTACAAGGATCTGTAGTGGCGGGACAAAGAAGAATGGCTTTAAACTGACAGATGGGAGATTCAGATTAGATATTAGGAAGAAGTTCTTCCCTGCGAGGGTGGTGAGGCACTGGCACAGGTTGCCCAGAGAACTTGTGACTGCCACATCCCTGGCAGTGTTCAAGGCCAGGCTGGAGAGTGCTTGGAGCAACCTCATCAAGTGGAAGGTGTCCCTGACCATGGCAGGGGGGTTGGAACTAAATGATCTTGGAGGTCCTTTCCAACCCAAACCATTCCATGATTCTACGAAAAAAAAAATCCATAAAAAATTGAAAAAATCTATAGCATATTGAAAAAAAACACTAGCAATAATTGGTTTGGGTTCACTATGACACAGCTGTCTCTTGAATTCCAACTAATGGCTCGGCTAATCAATATTTTATAGCAAGTGCTGCTTACCATGCTGCTCTTACAAAAACACTGTTAGGAAGAAAGAAATCGCTTAGCTGACAGAGCAGAAAGCATGGATGGACTTCCAGGCTTGGCTATTAATTGATAAATTTACTAAGACTTCTTTGCAATCTTTTTATTGAATCATCTAAATGTTCTTTAAGTTACATTTTTTATTTTTTAAAAGATGATGAGTTTATTTAATCTGGAGAATTAAATAAATGTGACAGCTTGCAAAGGTTCAAAGATACTGTAGAAATTGGGGAGGAAAAGGAAAAAAGGGGAGTTTGCCTCTATGGCAAAGAATTTAAGGTAAAACTACCTTTTTTAACAAAAAACTTTTATATGTAAACTGTAAGATTTATGCTGTGGTAGAGATGGGGTGATTTGAACTTTGAGATGTAAGAGGTACTAACATTCCAGCATTAATTCTTTTATCATTGTTTTATGATAGTATTGACTTTTTAGGTTGTTGTTGTTATTGCTTACTATACCCTTATTCAGTAGCCAGCCTGAGTCAGCTGCATTACCTTAACACCCCCCCAAATAAGACAGAAACTGCAAAGAGCTAAAATGGGGGGGGGGGCTGGGGGAAGGGGGAACAGGGGATTTCTCAACAAATCAGGATGTCATTGAAAAGAACACCAGGGTACATTTACTTCTAGTTGAAGATACAAGTTTTTCCTCTGGTATCAACAAAATTATGATTTCATTTGGTTCTTTTGGTTCTGGGTTATTTAGGGTGCCTGGGCGGTATATAAGTCAAACATCCTTTGCCCAGAGTGTCATAAAAGTTGAGGTCCTTCAAACTGGTGTTTATTACTGAACCTTGCTTGGGTAGACTTTAATTCAATTTTCATCTAAAATGCAGATGCAAGATTGTGGATCATACCTCCCTTCAGAATACAGCTGTTGGGCAGTGGCTGGTATGTGTACAACAGTAAGTAAGCACAGGGAGGAGGTGGTTCAGCTGCCTGCATGCTGCACTGACAATGAGTCTGCTCACACAGTCTGAGGAGAGAGCCTGCTCGTATCTTTTCCCTGTATTCATACAGATGAAAGCAACGCTTTTCATCTGTATGAAAAGGCATGGAGGTACATGTGTGCAGGAGACAGGACGAGCAGAAACAAAGCTCAGGCTGGGAAGCAAGAGAAGTGTGTCTTGTTCCCCCTGTGCTCAATAAAGCAGACTTTGTATGTTCTTAAAATAAACAGAATCCCATCAAAGGTATTGACTACATCACAAGTTTTAACTGAGTGACCCACATGATCCCAAATTTTGTCTGGCTACTAGTCAGAGACTGCTTTTGATCTCCACTGATGAAGCAGTCTTCTCTTTTCCAGCTTTCATTTACTGGTTCGAAGGACAGTGAAATGGGTCTGAAGGAGACATCTGACTTGTTAATACTCTTCCTTAGTAAGCTTCAGATTGTGATGCCGAGACTGTTCAGAATCCTTGCTCCCCCAAGGAAGCTCCCACTACATTTGTTACTTGTAGACTCCCATCCTGCTCCTCCTCTTGATCTTTTGGGTGAAAGAGTCCCTCTACACTAACCAGCCCAGTCATTTTCTGTCATTACCAAGTTCTGTGGAAACATACAGTGTGTATGCAGGAGAGAGAACACTCCTGTTAGCTCTGCACAGGCTGGGAAAGACCTAGTGCTGCCTCCTGAAGTTTTAATTGAGTGTTATACTCTGGACATTTTTCTTTCACTTTGCTTTTATCATGAAGATTTTTCTCCACTGAATTCAAGAAGCAGGTTAAATATATGTAAGCAGTAATCAAGAAATGCCTGTGATGCTTGTATTTATTTCAAGTATGAATAAAATTTGTCTTAGAGGGCAAGAAGTGGTCTGAAGTTGTGTCCGTTATTTCCTACCCTGCCTTCTGATTTGTTTTCATCCGGAGGAGTTTAACCCCACGGCATGTAAACACAATCAGTGTGTCCCTCTAAGGCAGCATCTGAGTGGGCAATGTTTGCAGCATCCTCTAAGGAAGATGCTTCCTCTTGGTCACATTCACAGCAACCTCCATTTGCAAATCTTGGTGGAGCAAGAACTACCATGCTGTATCAGTTTTGAGTCCCAGGTTCATTTTACTACCTGGTAGACCTGGGTTGTGCTGTTTTCCTGAAGAGAACTCTGACTGCCCATCCAAAATACTCTGTGACTGCTTTCCTTTCTCAGAGACTGAGTTAGAGGAAATATTTTACAGTGCAATAGCTGGGCAAATGCGTATCTTACTTGCACATATCTTTTTGTGCTGCTAAGTATACATATTAATAGAGTTGAATTTACTTCCTTTCTAAGAGGTGAAGCTTTTGTCAGCTGTAATGATTAGCTTTTGTTTGATATTCATAATATTGTATTGCATGGCTTACCTAGTGGAGCTGTGCAAAATTATTTATGGGGGTTCTGAAATGTGACAACCCACTTTTAGACTTAACAAACCGCCTTCACAAGGTGGAAGAATATGGCATGGAAACTGCTGGCTGGAACAACAGCCTGTGATAATGCTGGTGTAGCTGGGAGGAGGGATGCTCTTTAGAAATCTGTGGGTTTTATTGTATGCTGTCAAAGGAAAACTAACAGACGTCATGGAAGTTGATCCTGTCTGGCTCTGGAAACAGCATAAATACTGGAGAAAAATACATTGAAACCTATTTAGTCCATCCATGGTCGGAAAGGCTCAAGGGAGACAGCCCAAATGGCCCATTCCTTACTTTCTTACCTTAATAAATAGCAGGATCTCCCTTTCTGACAAACTTCTGCATCCTTGCTGATGTGCAGCATTCGTTATGAGCTTTAGTTTGAATCCTGGTAACCTCTAGGTGAACGTATTCACGTTATTGGTGTAAAACCAACAAATTCTGACTTCTGTTTAAAGACTACCAGGTAAACATTAGAAAATACTTTGGAGGATCGATACTCCCTCATGGCTTTTAAAATCAGAGAAGTGTCATGATTCTTATTTCACCTTTCCATGAAAGAAGAGCACAAGGATTATCTTTGACGTCTCTTTGAAACCACAGGATCTGAGTAAGTGGTGCATTCTCCTCACTTCCTCAGGGCAGCCAGGTTTGTTTTGTGTTCTGTGTTTTCATGCTTCTGAAATTGCAGTTCAGATTATTCATGTTACTGACACCATTTTAAATCCCAGATGAGCAGATAAAATAAGCAAGTAAGCAGCAGAAGATCCTTTCATGTGACTTGGACCTCAAGAGGGAGGATAAAACCTGAGCAGGAATCCTTGGCTCCCATGGGATCAGGATTTTACTGTCAGTCTTTATGGCTGTCTCATTTGTGTGGCCTTTTACACTGAAAGCAATGCAGAGTCTACCACTTACTTGGTGAAATGTCTGCCACCAGGAGGTGGCTTCACTCAAATATACGTTTTGGTAAGATGAAGACAAACTTGAAATTTATTGTTCATTCCATTCATAACCAGAAGTTCTGGGCTTGCCAAGCTGCTGAATCAGCTCGGGTACCTCACCCTCGAGTCAGCAAAGCCTGAAATAGAAACTAGTGCCCTTTCCGAAGACAGGAAGCACCACTGTTGTCTGCAGATACAGCCGCATCTAACCTGCTCTGGTGACTATGAACACCCATTGGAGGAACTTGCATGACACTCTTCTTTAAAAAGAAAAGAAGGAAAGGCAGGAAGGCATTTTCTTACTTGAAATGTGAGCATTAATATTGCTATGAATGTCTGGGTGTGGAAGCACTAAGGAATAAACAGCAGGAGCACTCTACAAGTGGCAGTTGTTTATATCATCCAGCCCAGCACAAGCTCCCAGTGCACCTACTTGCAGCTTCTCAGGACGTTGAAAATAGGGAGACTACACCCAGGCAAAAGTGAAGTTTTAAGCTTTTAAGAAATGATGGCAAGAAGACAGGGTGAAAGCTATAAAACACTGACTGGAGATCACCTGCAGTGGTACTCATCCACGATTCCCAAAGTAGAGTCTAGTAACTCTTGCTGCCATGCTGTAACTCTGCTCCATAGCACAGCATGAAATGGCAAAAACAGTGCAAATGACCACCAGTTGCAGTCAAGTAGTGGGAAGTGACACTGTCAAGTCATCATCAGGACTTCCATGAGTAGGTGGAAGGCAGTGAAAAGGCATGTAAAAGTAGTCCCGATGTGATATAAATTAGGGAGGAGTTTCTGTGGCTCAAGTCAGGACAAGAAGTAGAAAAATAATCAGAGTATTAGTTCTCCCGTTCTCCCCTGCTCGAGTTGCTCAGCTTTTGATCTTGCAGATTTAGCACCAGTAATTTTTAGCATCCCGCAGAACAGCACCTGTTAAAAATAAAGTCTCAGGAACATGTCAAGCAGATACTTGTTTTGTGCCACCTTGCCAGGAATGCTCCTGGTTTTCCCTCCACACGTGCTGCAGGTCTCACACTCTTCCTGCTCCAAGCAAAGGACTGCTGCTGGCACTTTCTGTTAGAAGTCCTCTGAAATAGCTCTACCTTCCATAAAGAGTGGGTTGTCCTGATGGGCAAACAAAAAAACAGTAATCCCTTTTGAACCCTGAGCACATGAGAGATGACGCCACTACCAGGCTGAGGGGAAGGAAAACACCCTTTGCCTTGGGGAAAGTCCAGATGTATTTTACTTTCTCTGGAAACTTCTCCTCTGTTTTCTCCGAAAGAATGGCTGGATGCCCACGTGCTGTTCTGTGCCACAATGAACCTGCTCACATCTCACCATGAAGGTCTGGTACATGCTCCTTTACCTGCACAATATCACGGCTGATGTAATCTTGAAAAATACAGTGTATTAAGTCAATGCTTTGGATAAACAGAAAACAAAACCTTTCTATTCTGTTCTCAGAGCTCCCATATTTAGACAACCTGTCCTCATATTGCAGTATCTGTGGGAAGGTCCTGATGGGAAGGGGAGCAGCAAAAGGACCCTGTCGTGGTTTAAACCCAGTCAGGTAATTCGTTCGCTCACTTCCCCCCCTTTCTTGCCCTCCCCCTGCTCTCGGAGGGACAGAGAGGAGAATCGAAAAGAATGCAACTCCCACGGGTTGAGATGAGAACAGTTTAGTAACTAAGGTATAACACAAATCACTACTGCTACCACCAATGATAATAATGATAAAGGAAATAACAAGGGAAGAGAATACATCATCTCACCAGCAGCCGACTGATAACTCGCCCCCCCAGCCCGACCAAGCTCTGACCGATACCTCCTCCAACCCTGCAGTCTCCCAGTCCTTCCGGCTAACTCCCAGTTACATCCTGGGCATGACGTGCTGTGGTATGGAATACCTCTTTGGTCAGTTTGGGTCAGGTGTCCTGTCTCTGCTTCCTCCTGGCCTCCCCTCCTCCCTGGCAGAGCATGAGGCTCACAAAGTCCTTGGCCAAACCAAAACATTACTATCAGCTCTGTTCCCAAGCTGAAAGTCAAAACACTGCACTGCACCAGCTACCAAGAAGGGGAAAAATGACTGCTACTGCTGAACCCAGGACAGACTCTCATAACTAAATTGTTCTAAACCAGGCTAACTATTCAGAACTAAACAATTTACATAACCATGCAGGCAAGTCTCCTTCTAGGGTGACCCACGGCATGGGATTTTCCTGTGGTACTATGGAGGAAAAGGTAGAGATTTGGAAAAACTGTCATTTCTGCAATGGGTGTGAGGGTTGCAACGTGATTTTACCATTTTCTGATTTTTACAACAGTACAATTGCAAATTCCAGCACATTGTATATCTAATGTTTTGGATTATTCAAGTGAAAAGAGGTGGAGATGAGAATTTACTGGCACAATTACAGGCTTATGCAGTCATCCTGTGCACACGCCACAGGTTTGGAAAAAAGACCTGCTGCAAATCCACAGAAAACCCTAGCTGGGGGATTGTAACCGCCACAAGGAATTACACAATGTAAAGCATAGTGAAACATTTGCTGTGCGTTCACCAAGCCCTCTTTAAAATTAGGTTTCTGGGGTTAAGAGAATTGCTGTGGCATTGTTGTGACTTGATCCCTTGTCTCAGTTGATGTGTGACAGAAAGATGACACCAGCGCTTCTGAGCTGGGAGTGGGTCTGGTGAGAGCTGTTCGAGCTGAGTGTTCCCGACCACATCCCTGAATAGATTCACTTTCTCCTTCCCTGGCTCAGGCTGTCACAGTGTATTTTAGCTACAAATCTGTTATTCTGTGCTGTGGGAGCCAGAATCATTTTAAAAAATAACCCAACTCAGTAATACCAGATTTTTTGTGATCTTCTCTTTTTTCCCCCCAGAAAGGGCAGAAGAGAGCATCCTTCTCAGCTAGACCTGAGATTTCACCTGCATGATGGCAACACTGATGCTCTCTAGGAATATAGATGACCCCCACTACCCAAACCAGAGCCCCCTGTTACATTAGTGTGGTGACTGAAATGGGGGAGGCCCAATGCAGTCTACTAATCCTACTGCTAGGTGATATATTTAGCATTTGTAGTCATTAAAAACTGATGTCATTCTAAACCAGTTGCTACTGACTTCTCACTTTATGACTGAAAGATTTTATTTACACTTCACAAAGGAAAGGCTGCAGTAAAAGATTATTGTTGGAGCTTCAGAATCAAGTACTTAAAAATCACAAAAACATTACGTTCATGTTAGCATTTTTAACACTCTCAAACTCTCAAAGCTTTATGCTTCCAGAGTATTTAGGACTTTTGCGGTGCTATCGGTGGACCATGAGTGCAAAAGGAGCAGTGAATGCCTTCCAAACACTCATGTTTAAAACGGAGACTGAATGCATGATTCTGCCACGTGCCCAGTTCTGTTTCCAGGGAACAAGATGGGAAGAAAATGGTTCTGAAAACACAAATGCACTCACTTT